GCGGACCACCCGTTTGGCTGGCGAGTAGCCTAGACCCAAAGGGGTTAACTCTTGAGCGAAACCAGCAGCAGTGACGGTGCCGGAAAATGGGGGCGTTGGAACCGTCTCGTCGCGAGAGCTTCCCGAAAACGCACAAGACTGCATGGACATGGGCGTTGAAATCTGAGGGTTGTGAGGAGCCGAAGAAAATAGCACACCGATTGGCCAATCAGAAGACAACACGGAGCATCGAAAGTGACACCTATACCGAATCGGAATATCGCAAGTCACACCATACCAATTGGCCAACCAGAAGGCAACACGGAGTGTCGGAAGTGAGAAAGAGGTTGTCGTGGGTGCGCTTGCTGATCTGTCCCGAACAAGGAAGGGAGCGTTGTTCTACTGCACCCAAGAGGTATCTCGGACATCATTTACTTTCTTCGGGTTGGTGGTCGAGGGACGCTCCGCGTACCGTAGGTTGCATGAGATACCATACACCCCTGGACAGATTTCAAGATCTCGATTCCCCGACGACAAAAGGATGCCACAACCCAACGATACGCAATCGGGAAGCTTTCCTCGAGGAGGTTCCACCGCCGCCATTTTCGGTACTGATACCGTTTTTGCTGCAGAGTACTCGAGTTTTGAAAACCGATCCAAGGGGTGTGGTATCTTGTGTAATCTATCCAGGGGGTGTGGTATTTGAAGTTTGGCTCGGGAGGAAAAGTCGGAAGACACCGTGTGAGGCGGCTGTTGGAAACTCCGTGGCTCTTCTGGGGAAAAGATGTCTTGTATTGTTGAGATCCTTGGTTCGAAAGACAGGTTAGTAAGTGGAGGGGGCGAGGGTGGGGTGAGCACCGCAGCACCGCAGCACCAGCACCATCCATGTCGCTCGACTAACGCACACAACCGGAACACAATAATATCGGAACACAAAGCTTCAACACGGGCTAACGAACGTACTTTTCAACGTACCATGAATCCTCTGGCTGATGCACTTTCCACAGAGAACACGCTCGAGACTGCACCATCCACGAAGAACATCCCTACAGAACGTTCCTTGCTTTCATAATACAGTGGGTGGCCCCATATAGTGCCGGCTGAATAGTGCCGGTTGCCGGTATAGTGCCGGTGTTTTCGGCTCGCACACACCGGACCCACCGCCAGTTCCTGACACGATGTATCGGCTGGAGCAAGCGGAAGCGCTCAGACCGACCCCTGTCCTACGCCCAGGCCCTCATCCAGGCCGGCTGCGAGGAAACCATCGAGGCCACCGTGCGCAAACGGAGGCTGTGTTTTGCGGGCTTCGTTATGCGCATGGAGGACAACCGCCTCCCCAAGCGCATGCTGCTGGGAGCGATGGCGGGGGGTACCGGATACCGGGGCGGGCAGGAGAGCGACTGGGTGTATCGCCTAGGAGAGGACCTCGTGGCGTTTGGCATGAAAGAGGAGAAGGAGGGGGGGAGATGGAAAGAGAGCGCCAAGGACCAGGAGG